TGTAATTTGTTTTTATTTTCAAAATTCAGGCAAAATTTTTACCTTTTTTTGCGATTTGTCTTTTCATTTTTTATTGGTTTCTTTCACAAAATATTTGTATATATTTAGTTGTTGCAATTATTTTTAGGTTTTAAAACTATTTCTATATAAATGTTTTAATTACTGTAATATTTGTATTGATTTATATTGAACATTTTGTTGCAGTGTTTTATTTTATTTTTTTTTTTTTCTATATTTAAGGTTAAAAAGTTTTTGAAAAATACTTGACAGTTAGTTGTGTGTTTTGTAGTTTTGAGTTTAGTTTTTAAATAATAGTTTGTAAATGCTTTATTGTATTTTTAAGGGGAAATTTCTTTAAAAACAAATTTAAGTTTCGTTTAAAGGGGGAGTTAGTTAATTTGTTTAAAATTTCTTGTGATTTAGTTTTGAAATTAAAAAAAATATTGAGTAAAAATTTTTTGCGTTTTTTAAATTTAAAAACTACTAATATTTATAATAAGTTTATAAGCTTAAATACATAAAGCCTTAAAAGCATTATTACATCTAATTAATTATTCATTTTTTTATTTTAGTAAAAAGAAAATTAAAATATTTTTTTTTTTAAATAAAAAAAAAATCACAAAAATAATACAAATTTAAACTGCTCGGGTTTTGAAATTGAATTTAGGAACTTGTTCTTTTTCAGAAAAAGAAGTTTCTAAAGAAAATTTAGCTAAAACTTGAGATTTCTCTAGAGAACTTTTAAAAAGTTTAAATTTTCTGTAGAAAATTTAACTTTTAACTTTGGTTTACTTAAAAACCTTAAACCATAACTTTAATTTTCTGCCAAAAAGTTATCGATAACATAATTTTTGCATAAATTCTTAAAAAGTTTTTAAAAAATTTTAGTTTATATAATAACAATAATATTAAATTTCTTTAAAAAAAAGTTATCAATAACTTTGATTTTCTTTACAAAACTTATCGATAACTTTTAATATCTATAGAAATAATATCGATAACTTTATATTTTATACAAAATGAAACGATAACATTGTTTTTACCACAACATTTTGGAAAAGTATTGTTTGTAAAGCAAAATTAACGATAAACGAGATTATTAATAGAAAAGCTATCGATAACTTGGATTTTATACCGAAAATCAACGATAATTGAAATTTTTTATGGAAAACTTATCGTTAACTACATATGTTTTTTTTTAAGAAAAAGTTATAGAAAACTTATTTTCAGATAAAATAGTCGTTAATTTTAGTGCTCTACAGGAAACTTAATTTTTTGTCTAAAAAGTTATCGATAACTTTTATTTTATAAAATCTCATAGGGAAAAGTTATCGATAACTTTATTTTTTAAAGAAAACTTAAAGACAACTTTGTTATTTAAAAAAAGGCATAGAAACATTTAAATTTAAAAGAAAAGCTATCGATAACTGTGTTTCTAAATAGAAAAGTTATCGAAAATTTAGATTTTCTTTAGAAAATGAAACGAAAACTTTGTTTTTTTTTTTTGTTAAGAAAACATATTGAAAACTTTAGTTTTGCTAAAAAGTGTAAAAACTTTGATTTTCTATAGAAAATTTAACGATAATATTGATTTTTGGATAGAAACATTATCACCAACTTTAATTTGCTAGAGAAAACTTATCGATAACTTGGATTTTATATAGAAATGTAACCGATTATACTTTCTTTAAGAGAAAATTTATTACAACTTTGTTTTTTTATGCAAAAGTCGATAACTTAGATTTTTTATATAGAATTATTAGCGATAACTTTATTTTTTTATAAAAAAACTATCGATAACTAATATTATATAAGGAAAAGTTATCGATAGCTTTGTTTATTGAAGAAAACTTATTGACAACTTTGTTTTTTATATAGAAGTCATTGGTTTTCGATTTTCTTTAGAAAAATCAGTTTTTCTATAAAAAAAACTTATCGATAACTAATATTTCATAAACAAACTAATATCGATTAGTTTGTTTATAACAGAAAATGGCAACTTTGTGTTTAATAGAAAAGTCATTCTATTCTATTTTCTTAAAAAAAAACTTAGATTTTTCCACAGAAATGTCGATAACTTTTATTTTTTATAAAAAAAACTTATCGACAACTAATATATCATAAAGAAAAGTTATCGATAACATTGTTTATTATAAAAAAACTTATTGACAACTTTGTTTTTATATACAAAACTCGATAACTTTGAGTTTCTTTAGAAAATATTAATTTTTGTAAAGAAATATTATCGATAACTTTAGTTTGTTATAAAAAACTTAACGATAACTAGTATTTCATATAAAAAAGTTATCGATAACTTTGTTTATTATAAAAAAAGTATTGACAATTTTGTTTTTATATACGAATGTCGATAACTTTGAGTTTCATTAGAATACATTATTTTTGCAAAGAAATGTTATCGAGAACTTCTATTTTTTATAAAAAACATATCGATAACTAATATTTTATAAACAAAAGTTATCGATTACTTTGTTTATAACTGAAAACTTATTGACAACTTTGTGTTTAATAGAAAAGTCAATATATTCGATTTTCTTTAAAAAAAACTTAGATTTTTGTATAGAAATGTTATCGATAACTTTTATTTTTTATTGAAAACTTATCGATTACTATAATCTTATATATAAAAGTTATCGATAACTTTGTTTATTACAGAAAACTTATTGAAAACTTTGTTTTTTATACAAAAGTCTTTAATCTTAATTTTCTTTTCAAAACTTAGATTCTTGCAGAGAAATGTTATCGATAACTTTTATTTTTCATAAAAAACGTATCGATAACTAATATTTCATAAAGAAAAGTTATCGTTAACCTTGTTTATTACAAAAAATGTATTGATCACTTTGTTTTTATATACAAAAGTCTATAACTTTGAATTTCTTTAGAAAAGATTATTGTTTTTCAATCAAATGTTATCGATAACATTAGTTAATTTACCAAAAACTTAACGATAACTGATATTTCATAGAAAAAAGTTATCGATAATATTATTTATTGCAGAAAACTTCTAGACAAGTTTGTTTTTTAGACAAATGACATTTTCTTTAGTTTTATGTATAAAAATGTTATCGATAACTTTGTTTTAATATAATATTCCTATCGTTAACAAATTTCTTATATAGAAAAGTTATTGATAACTCTTTTAATTAAAGGAATAATACAGACAACTTTTTATTTAGCCAAGAAAGTCAAAAACTTTAATTTTCCTTCAAAAATTTATCGATAACTTTCATTACATATATAAAACTCATGCGTTACTTTAAGTTTATAAAATAAATTAATCGATAACTAATATTTTATATAAAAAATTAACAATAACTTTAGCTTTGTTGTAAAAAACTTATTGAAAACTTTTTGTTTATAATAAAATCGATAATTTTGATGTTCTACAGGAAAATATTCATTAAATTTCATTATTTTGGAAGGAAAGTTATCGATAACTTTAGTTTGCAAAGCAAACTGTACAATAACATTAAAGTTTTTATAGAAAATTTTTAAAAAGTTTGTTTTACTTACAAATTACTTTATAATTTGCTATTCTATAGAAAAGTTAGATTTTCTTTAGAAAAGTTATCGATAAGTTTGCATATATTTAGAAAACATATCGATAACATTGTTTTTCTATAGAAAACATAGTAAATAGTATAATTTTTTTAAACCAAAGTTGTAAAGAAAGTTTTTCTAAAGAAAAATTATCATTTATTTTAATTTATTAAGGAAAATGTAACAAAAACTTAGATTTTATAAAAAAAAGTTATCGATAACTTTATTTTTTGAAGAAACCTAAACTAAACTTGAATTTTTTAAGGAAAACTCACAATAAATTTGATCTTTTTGTTGTTAATAACTTAAATTTTCTATATAAAAATTGTCGATAAGTTAGTTTTCCTTGAGAGAAGTTATCGATAACTTAAATGCTCTATAGAGAAAAACCAGAATATAGTAATTTTTCTGTTTATAAAGTTCGGAATAACGGAAATTGGAACAGAATTGTTACTCATCATTTCAAACTCAAATCCAGGGTGGCGTTATTTCAAAAACCAACTGAACACAATTCTATTAAAATATTTCATCAATATAATTAAACATTTAATACATAAAACAAATTAAAAATTAAATAATTCATAAACAACTAAAATTATTTAACAAAAAATTAAAACAAATTCTTAAAAAAATATATATAATTTCTTAATAACAAAAGAATTAAATAAATAAAAAAATATATTTTTTAAAAAATTGCACATTGAAAATTTTACAAAATATCTATTATTTAATAAATATACACAAATAGTTTTTATTATTTTTGTTTTGTTTTTGTTTTATAGCCAGCAAAGATCACAAATATTTTTTTTTATTTATAAAAGTTTAAAACAAAACATAATGCATTTGTTTTTTTATATTATTAAAAGTTTACTTAACTTGGCTTTTCAGCTGGCAATGTTGGGTTAAGTTTCATTTTGTTTTTGTTTTTTTTTATTAAGTATTTTATTTAATATTAATTGTTGTTTTTGTTTTGTAAATATGAATATATTGTTGTTGTTTTTTTGTATAACTTTTTGTACATTTTAATTGCTATCATTTCAGTATTTATTTTTTCTTTATTTTAATAAAAATTTTCAGAATTTTCTTTTTTGAGTTTAACAAATAGATTTTTGTTTTAACAATTCTTTTGTTAGCAAATTTGTGCGTTTTTTTTAAAGTAAATTTATTTTGTAAATAAAAATAAATAAAATGAATTTTAAATTAAAAAAAGAGAGTTTTTAAACTAAACTTTTTTAAAAAATATGACGCTTAGCAGGACATTTAGTAAATTTTTATAAAATTTCTGAATGTTTGAAATCTTTTGCAAAGTAAAGGATTGGAAAACTTTAAATGTTAACCATTTTCCTTTAAATTTTCTTTTTCTTTACAATGCAAAAGATATCAAACATTTTTTAGTTTAGAAATTTTATAACAATTTACCAAAAGTCCTTGTACGAACCTCAGGAACCATGTAGCGTGCTGTTCTGATTGTTGGTATTGTTGTTGTTGGTGCCATTACCTGTGGTGTTGACATTTTGGGCTGAAACCTCGGATTTAACACGACGAGCGATGTGCGAACGTGTGTGTTTGCGTAAGTGATCTTTGCGATAGAAACCTATACGGGGAGGGATAAGAAAAGTTAAACAAGTTCTAGATCTATTTTAGATTCGTTCAGCTCTATTTATTCTAGTTCAGTTCTAGTTCAGTACTAGTTATGTTCTAGTTCTGTTATAGTTTTGTTTTAGTTCTGTTTTAGTTCTGTTCTAGTTCTGATCTAGTTCTGTTCTAGTTCCGTACTAGTTTAGTTCTAGTTCAGTTCTAGTTCAGTTCTAGTTCAGTTCTAGTTCAGTTCTAGTTCAGTTCTAGTTCAGTTCTAGTTCAGTTCTAGTTCAGTTCTAGTTCAGTTCTAGTTCAGTTCTAGTTCTAGTTCTGTCAGTTCTAGTGTCAGTTCTAGTTCAGTCTGTTCTAGTGTCTAGTTCTGTTCTAGTTTCTGTTCTAGTTATGTTCTAGGTCTGTTCTAGTTCATGTTCTAGTTCTGTTCTAGTTCTGTTCTAGTTCTGTTCTAGTTCTGTTCTAGTTCAGTTCTAGTTCTGTTCTAGTTCTGTTCTAGTTCTGTTCTAGTTCTGTTCTAGTTCTGTTCTAGTTCTGTTCTAGTTCTGTTCTAGTCTGTTCTAGTTCTGTTCTAGTTCTGTTCTAGTTCTGTTCTAGTTCTGTTCTAGTTCTGTTCTAGTTCTGTTCTAGTTCTGTTCTAGTTCTGTTCTAGTTCTGTTCTAGTTCTGGTTCTAAGTTCTGTTCTAGTTCTGTTCTAGTTCTGTTCTAGTTCTGTTCTAGTTCTGTTCTAGTTCTGTTTCTAGTTCTGTTGTTCTGTTCTAGTTCTTTCTAGTTCTGTTCTATTCTGTTCTAGTTCTGTTCTAGTTCTGTTCTAGTTCTGTTCTAGTTCTGTTCTAGTTCTGTTCTAGTTCTGTTCTAGTTCTGTTCTAGTTCTGTTCTAGTTCTGTTCTAGTTCTGTTCTAGTTCTGTTCTAGTTTTGTTCTAGTTCTGTTCTAGTTCTGTTCTAGTTCTGTTCTAGTTCTGTTCTAGTTCTGTTCTAGTTCTGTTCTAGTTCTGTTCTAGTTCTGTTCTAGTTCTGTTCTAGTTCTGTTCTAGTTCTGTTCTAGTTCTGTTCTAGTTCTGTTCTAGTTCTGTTCTAGTTCTGTTCTAGTTCTAGTTCTGTTCTAGTTCTGTTCTAGTTCTGTTCTAGATCTGTTCTAGTTCTGTTCTAGTTCTGTTCTAGTTCTGTTCTAGTTCTGTTCTAGTTCTGTTCTAGTTCTGTTCTAGTTCTGTTCTAGTTCTGTTCTAGTTCTGTTCTAGTTCTGTTCTAGTTCTGTTCTAGTTCTGTTCTGTTCTGTTCTGTTCTAGTTCTGTTCTGTTCTAGTTCTGTTCTAGTTCTGTTCTAGTTCTGTTCTAGTTTTGTTCTAGTTTTGTATTAGTTCTGCTCTAGTTCTGTTCTAGTTCTGTTTTAGTTCTGTTCTAGTTCTGTTCTGGTTCTTTTCTAGTTCCCGTTCCTCCAAAATCTGTTCTTACCTTTTCCACACTCAATGCAGACATGTTTCTTTTCGCCGGAATGTATGACAATGTGTAGAGTTAATTGCTCTTTTCGTTTAAATGATTTCATACAAATCTATGAAAAATAGAGAATAAACAAAAAAATCATTAAAATCTCAATTAAAACATTAGAAAATTTTACTTACATTGCACACATGTGGTCTATCCGGTATATGCGACAACTTGTGTCGTGTCAAATGATCCTTACGCTTCAATGCTGCATTACAGATGTCGCAAACAAAACGTCTTTCGACGGCATGGGAGATGACATGCTGTTCGATTAACGAACGATCTGGATAGGCCATTTGACATTCGGGACAACAGTATAGTGTGGAACCATCCAAAGCCTTGGTTTCCCTAATCTCACCAGGTTTTGGCCTGGGTTTCTTCTCCTTTGGGGGCTTCTTCTTTTTACCCTTTTTTCCCTTAGTGGGGGCAGCCGGTGCCGTGCCATCAGTTGTGGTTGCCGTGCCATTGGGCGCTGCAGGCGCTGTGCTTGTCACAACGGTATTACCATTAGTCACACCATTACCATTTGTGGTAACATTAACATTGCCATTTGTGGGCGGCATTGTTTGATTGGCCACCATCTGCTGTTGTTGCTGCTGCTGAGCATTGGTGACATCATTTAAATTGGGTATATGCCCCTGCTGTTGTTGCTGCTGATGATCCATGCTGACGAGTCCCGTAGTGCCATTGCCATTATGTGTATGATGATTACCATTCGTTTGCGTTTGACTAGGTGCCAGCGATACGCCACCCAAGGCCAAACTAGCCAAATTGGTGCCATTCTTAAGCACATCGTTTTTTATGTTAAATCCAGAAGTCGTATCCAAATTGCTCAAATTCAAATTCCCTGAGTTGATTTGTGTGCCCACAATACCTGAGGATTCCTTTTTAATCGTTTCGGAATATTTGAGGAAGTGTTGTATGGAAATTGGCAGTGTAGCGGAGAGCAAATGCGATGAATAATCAACGGTATTGGCAGTATTGGCCAATGTTTGCCACGATTGATTGACATTTTGTAAAATTTGTTGATTCAAAACTGTTCTCGGAAAAGACGAAAAGTAAGAGAGAATATTGCGAAAAGAGGTTTTTAGAGTGTATAGAATAGAGAGTGGGAGTTTATATATACAATTTTTGATCGAAAAGAAAACAGAAAATAAAGAATAGAACATAGTTTCACTACTAATTAAAATCAAATTACTTGGTCAATTCTAGTTTAGTTTTAGTTCAGTTCAAGTTCTAATTCAGTTCTAATTCAGTTCTAGTTCAGTTCTAGTTTAGTTCTAGTTCAGTTCTAGTTCTAGTTCAGTTCTAGTTCAGTTCTAGTTCAGTTCTAGTTCAGTTCTAGTTCAGTTCTAGTTCAGTTCTAGTTCAGTTCTAGATCAGTTCTAGTTCAGTTTTAGTTCAGTTCTAGTTCAGTTCTAGTTCAGTTCTAGTTCTGTTCTAGTTCAGTTCTAGTTCAGTTCTTGTTCAGTTCTAGTTCAGTTCTAGTTCAGTTCTAGTTCAATTCTAGTTCAGTTCTATTTCATTTCTAGTTCTAGTTCAGTTCTAGTTCAGTTCTAGTTCAGTTCTAGTTCAGTTCTAGTTCAGTTCTAGTTCAGTTCTAGTTCAGTTCTAGTTCAGTTCTAGTTCAGTTCTAGTTCAGTTCTAGTTCAGTTCTAGTTCAGTTCTAGTTCAGTTCTAGTTCAGTTCTAGTTCAGTTCTAGTTCAGTTCTAGTTCAGTTCTAGTTCAGTTCTAGTTCAGTTCTAGTTCAGTTCTAGTTCAGTTCTAGTTCAGTTCTAGTTCAGTTCTAGTTCAGTTCTAGTTCAGTTCTAGTTAGTTAGTTAGTTAGTTAGTTAGTTAGTTAGTTAGTTAGTTAGTTAGTTAGTTAGTTAGTTCTAGTTCAGTTCTAGTTCAGTTCTAGTTCAGTTCTAGTTCAGTTCTAGTTCAGTTCTAGTTCAGTTCCAGTTCAGTTCTAGTTCAGTTCTAGTTCAGTTCTAGTTCAGTTCTAGTTCAATTCTAGTTCAGTTCTAGTTCAGTTCTAGTTCAGTTCTGGTTCAGTTCTAGTTCAGTTCTAGTTTATTTCTAGTTCAGTTCTAGTTCAGTTCTAGTTCAGTTCTAGTTCAGTTCTAGTTCAGTTCTAGTTCAGTTCTAGTTCAGTTCTAGTTCAGTTCTAGTTCAGTTCTAGTTCAGTTCTAGTTCAGTTCTAGTTCAGTTCTAGTTCAGTTTTATTTCAGTTCTAGTTCAGTTCTAGTTCAGTTCTAGTTCTGTTCTAGTTCAGTTCTAGTTCAGTTCTTGTTCAGTTCTAGTTCAGTTCTAGTTCAGTTCTAGTTCAATTCTAGTCTAGTTCAGTTCTAGTTCAGTTCTAGTTCAGTTCTAGTTCAGTTCTAGTTCAGTTCTAGTTCAGTTCTAGTTCAGTTCTAGTTCAGTTCTAGTTCAGTTCTAGTTCAGTTCTAGTTCAGTTCTAGTTCAGTTCTAGTTCAGTTCTAGTTCAGTTCTAGTTCAGTTCTAGTTAGTTAGTTAGTTAGTTAGTTAGTTAGTTAGTTAGTTAGTTCTAGTTCAGTTCTAGTTCAGTTCTAGTTCAATTCTAGTTCAGTTCTAGTTCAGTTCTAGTTCAGTTCTAGTTCAGTTCTGGTTCAGTTCTAGTTCAGTTCTAGTTTATTTCTAGTTCAGTTCTAGTTCAGTTCTAGTTCAGTTCTAGTTCAGTTCTAGTTCAGTTCTAGTTCAGTTCTAGTTCAGTCCAAGTTCAGTCCTAGTTCAGTTCTAGTTCAGTTCTAGTTCAGTTCTAGTTCAGTTCTAGTTCAGTTCTAGTTCAGTTCTAGTTCAGTTCTAGTTCAGTTCTAGTTCATAGTTCAGTTCTAGTTCAGTTCTAGTTCAGTTCTAGATCAGTTCTAGTTCAGTTCTAGTTTCTAGTTCAGTTCTAGATCAGTTCTAGATCGGTTCTAGTTCAGTTCTAGTTCAGTTCCAGTTCATTTCTAGTTCAGTTACATTTATCAATCAACTTGAATTGATATCTTATCCGGGGATGGACAATTTTTGATTTTTTCGTGAGATGATAAAGACATTTCCTTCTTCATTTTATTTTTGGAAAAACCTTGAACATATTAAACTTTTAAATCAATTCGGAAACCGGAAATATTTGTACAATCAAATTCTATAATAACTTCTCATTTCTGCTTCATTTACTTTCAAAGTGCCATTTGCTATTTGTCTTATCAAACTCCCTGAAACCCCGACTTATCAATGAAGTGAAATGTGTGTCAAAAATATTTGTATTACTTTAATACTCTTTAAAGGAATTTTTGCCAATGTGCTTTAAATTTACCTTTTAGAACTTTTTTTCCGTTTCATTTATATTTAATTTTTCCAAGAACCTTAAAACAAATTCCCCAAAAATAAATCATTATGTATAAAAGCTATAATAGCTGTAGAACAACAAAAACCTGATGGAACCTACTTATATTTATAATGTGTACATAAGATTTTCTTTTGCTTTGAAGGAATAAATAAATAAAATGAAAAAACCTACCCCAATATAGAAATCATAGAAGGTATAGAAATGTATAGAACAAACAAATCGGCAACAGAAGAAAAAAATAATGACAGCAAAAGCAATTTACTTCCTACAAATCCCAGGCTCTAAAATACACACATTTTTAGGCTTCTTATAGAAAGTGTTTATATAAAGATGTATGTATATATTACATAAATACATACTTATATAAGTATGTATGTATGTACTTACGACGGTTTTTATATATTTACTAAACTCAAGGACGAACCTATTTTACATTAGGAACAAAACCATAAAAAGAAATATCTTTTTTTTTCTTCTTCTGCGAATTTCTGTTGTCTGGTTATTGTGGATGGGGATGATGGAGAGTCCTATAGAAACGTCTGGGGGCTGACAGTTATTTTATCAAATAAATGGCAAAAACAACAACAATAACAAAAATCACACAAATATTTAACAAATAAAAAGAAAAAAACAAATTATGATGAAATTGTTAGGAAAATATAGAAAATTTATTACATTATTGAGTAAAAATTAAAAATAATTAACAAAAAATTTAATATAACTAATTAACTAAATTTAATAATAAAAATAACATAAACAAATTTATAAAAATTAAATAATAATTAACAAAATAATATAAATATTATTAAACTTAATAGTATATCTAAAGAAACTTAAAAAGTTTAGTTAAATAACTTCGGAATATAGAACTTAAACTAAGTTCCCGATCTGTACACATTTTAGATACTTTAGAGGCCTCAGTTCTAATTCATGATAAGTTATATTTCAGTTCCAATTCAGTTCTAGTTCACTTCCTAGTTCAGTTCTAGTTCAGTTCTGGTTCAGTTCTAGTTCAGTTCTAGTTCAGTTCTAGTTTCAGTTCTAGTTCAGTTCTAGTTCAGTTCTAGTTTCAGTTCTAGTTCAGTTCTAGTTTCAGTTCTAGTTCAGTTCTAGTTCAGTTCTAGTTCAGTTCTAGTTCAGTTTCTAGTTCAGTTCTAGTTCAGTTCTAGTTCAGTTCTAGTTCAGTTCTAGTTCAGTTCTAGTTCAGTTCTAGTTCAGTTCTAGTTCAGTTCTAGTTCAGTTCTAGTTCAGTTCTAGTTCAGTTCTAGTTCAGTTCTAGTTTCAGTTCTAGTTCAGTTCTAGTTCAGTTCTAGTTCAGTTCTAGTTCAGTTCTAGTTCAGTTCTAGTTCAGTTCTAGTTCAGTTCTAGTTCAGTTCTAGTTCAGTTCTAGTTCAGTTCTAGTTCAGTTCTAGTTCAGTTCTAGTTCAGTTCTCGTTCAGTTCTAGTTCAGTTCTAGTTCAGTTCTAGTTCAGTTCTAGTTCAGTTCTAGTTCAGTTCTAGTTCAGTTCTAGTTCAGTTCTAGTTCAGTTCTAGTTCAGTTCTAGTTCAGTTCTAGTTCAGTTCTAGTTCAGTTCTAGTTCAGTTCTAGTTCAGTTCTAGTTCAGTTCTAGTTCAGTTCTAGTTCAGTTCTAGTTCAGTTCTAGTTCAGTTCTAGTTCAGTTCTAGTTCAGTTCTAGTTCAGTTCTAGTTCAGTTCTAGTTCAGTTCTAGTTCAGTTCTAGTTCAGTTCTAGTTCAGTTCTAGTTCAGTTCTAGTTCAGTCTAGTTCAGTTTCTAGTTCAGTTCTAGTTTCAGTTCTAGTTCAGTTCTAGTTCAGTTCTAGTTCAGTTCTAGTTCAGTTCTAGTTCAGTTCTAGTTCAGTTCTAGTTCAGTTCTAGTTCAGTTCTAGTTCAGTTCTAGTTCAGTTCTAGTTCAGTTCTAGTTCAGTTCTAGGTTCTAGTTCAGTTCTAGTTCAGTTCTAGTTCAGTTCTAGTTCAGTTCTAGTTCAGTTCTAGTTCAGTTCTAGTTCAGTTCTAGTTCAGTTCTAGTTCAGTTCTAGTTCAGTTCTAGTTCAGTTCTAGTTCAGTTCTAGTTCAGTTCTAGTTCAGTTCTAGTTCAGTTCTAGTTCAGTTCTAGTTCAGTTCTAGTTCAGTTCAGTTCTAGTTCTAGTTCAGTTCTAGTTCAGTTCTAGTTCAGTTCTAGTTTAGTTCTAGTTCAGTTCTAGTTCAGTTCTAGTTCAGTTCTAGTTCAGTTCTAGTTCAGTTCTAGTTCAGTTCTAGTTCAGTTCTAGTTCAGTTCTAGTTCAGTTCTAGTTCAGTTCTAGTTCAGTTCTAGTTCAGTTCTAGTTCAGTTCTAGTTCAGTTCTAGTTCAGTTCTAGTTCAGTTCTAGTTCAGTTCTAGTTCAGTTCTAGTTCAGTTCTAGTTCTAGTTCAGTTCTAGTTCAGTTCTAGTTCAGTTCTAGTTCAGTTCTAGTTCTAGTTCAGTTCTAGTTCAGTTATAGTTCAGTTCTAGTTCAGTTCTAGTTCAGTTCTAGTTCAGTTCTAGTTCAGTTCTAGTTCAGTTAGTTCTAGTTCAGTTCTAGTTCAGTTCTAGTTCAGTTCTAGTTCAGTTCTAGTTCAGTTCTAGTTCAGTTCTAGTTCAGTTCTAGTTCAGTTAGTTCAGTTCTAGTTCAGTTCTAGTTCAGTTCTAGTTCAGTTCTAGTTCAGTTCTAGTTCAGTTCTAGTTCAGTTCTAATTCAATTCTAGCTCAGTTCTACTTCAGTTCCGGGTCAATTCTAGTTCTGTTCTACTTCAGGTTAAGTTTGATTTTGGGTTAATTCTAGCTCATTTTTACTTCAGTTCCGGGTCAATTCTAGTTTAGTTCTGGGTCAATTCCGGTTCTGTTCTACTTCAGGTCTAGTTTGATTTTGGGTCAATTCTAGTTCAGTTTTACTTCAGTTCCTTGTCAATTCTAGTTCAGGTCTAATTTAGTTCTGGGTCAATTCTAATTCTACTTCAGATCAAGTTTGATTTTGGGTCAATTCTAGCTCAGTTCTACTTCAGTTCCAGGTCAATTCTAGTTCAGTTTTAGTTTAGTTCTGGTTCAATTCTAGTTCTGTTCAACTTCTGGTCTAGTTTGGTTCTGGGTAAATTCCAGTTAAGTTCTTCTTCTAGTTTGGTTCTAGTTCAGTTTTAATTCAAATTGAGTTTTATTGTTCAACCTGTAGCATGGACTTTACTTTTTCTTTTCTTCTTTTATATAAATTAACAATCATTATAAACTGATAACACATGCAGAGATGGTAAGATTTTAGTTTGGTATTAAAAATGTATAAACAGAACTGAAGTTACAAAAAACTACATTTGTAATTTTATTAGAACAAAAGTTATAAAACTTTTTAATAATAAAACCTTCCAATTTGGGTAAAACTTTAATAAAATCAAACAATAAAACAACTTGAAATTAAAGCGAAACAAATTCCACTTAAATTTAAAATAACACTACCCAAAAAAACTTAAGTGTTACGCAGAAAATTCAAATTTAAATAACAACAATATAACATATAAAATAAAACCAACTGAAACTGATTTCAAAATTAACATAATTTCTATATGTAAGAATGTTTGTATATATTTCACCATTTAACTAAATTTACGAGAAAAAAAAAAACCGAAATCGAAAAAAATGAACAATGTCAACATGAAATTTATCAGTTATAACAAGCCTACAATGGTAGTACCCATACTATGTCCGGCTCCTTTAAAAAAATATAAAAAATGAGCAAAAATATATATAAACCTCCTCTTTATCGGCTGTTACCAACGGCAGACATACCCATACACCAGAAAAAGAATAATAATAAAACCAAGAAGAAAAAAACTGTTAAAGTAATAAACTTACACATACACACATTTAGCACTAGTATATAGTATTTATGGTATATGTTACAGTTGTGTTTAAAAAAAATAGCACTTAATACTAAAACAAATACATATTTTTAAAGCTTATACATATATAAAAAAGATTTATTTGTAAATTGAAAGTTGGTTCGTTATATGAAATTATATCTTAAGAGTTTAATGAGGGCTTAAGTCAATTATGAAACGAATTCTACGGAATTTGATATGGAGAAAAAAAATCATTTTTGTAGAATTTTATCTTTCCATAATTTTTAAATTATTTATTGAAGCTAAACTGATTTTCTACAAGAGGAGTTATATGGCATCTATGTAGGTTCAATTATGGACCGATGATCCTCTTGAAAATTGGTATTAACGTTAAAGTATTTTTCTGAGGTGGACCTTATATGGGGACTAGGGTGGTCATTATTTCATTTAATCTTCCTAACACCTTTTTTCGTGCCAACAAACAGACTGATAGACGAAGTGATATCTCATTGTTTTAGAATCTTACAAGGGAACAGAATATATTTATTTGATAGGGTCTGTGGACAAGATCTTGTATTAAAAACGGCAAATAGGCCAAACCAGTTATTTTAAAGACAACTGGCTTTTCACAGAAAAGCGGGAATACAGAGAAATATAGGGATTTGATATAATGATACTGGGGTTTTCATAAAATATGTACCAGACTTTTATTGAAATACAGATTTTTACAGAAATACTGCTTTTTCCATAAAAATACTGCTATATTTTTGGAAATACTGGTTTTTCATAGAAATACTGGTTTCTCATAGAAATACTTTTTTTTATAGAAATACTTGTTTTTCATAGAAACACTGGTTTTTCATATAAATATTGGTTCTTCATAGAAATATTGGTTTTTCATAGAAATACTGGTTTTCCATAGAAATACTGGTTTTTCATAGAAATACTGGTTTTTCAAAGAAAACTATTTTTTTTCATAGAAAAACTGGTTTATCATAAAAAAACTGGTTTATCATATAAAAACTGGTTTTTCATAGACATTTTTTTCATAAAAATACAGGTTTTTCCTATAAATACTGGTTTTTCATAGAAACACTGGTTTATCATAGAAAAACTGGTATTTCATAGAAATACTGGTTTTTCATAGAAATATTGGTTTTTTATAGAAATACTGGTTATTCATAAAAATACTGGTTTTACACAAATTTTTTTTTTTTTCATAGAAAAACTGGTTTATCATATAAAAGCTGGTTTTTCATAGAAAAAGTTTTTTTTTTATAAAAATACAGGTTTTTCATATAAATACTGGCTTATCATAGAAATAGTGGTTTTTCATAGAAATACTGTTTTTTCATAGAATAACTGGTTTATCAAAGAAAACTGTTGTTTCATAGATATACTGGTTTTTAATAGAAATACAGATTTATACAGAAACATCGGTAATAGAAATACAGGTTTTTTTATATACTGTTTTTTCATAAAAATACCGGTTTTCATGAAAATAATTTTTTTTTATAGAAATACAGTTTTTTCATAAAAATAAGCGTTTTTCACATAAATACCGAATTTTCATAGAAATACCGGTTTTAAATAAAAATACCGGTTTTTCATAAATAACCGAGTTTTCATTAAATACTTCTTCTTCATAAAAACTAGGTTTGTTATAAAAATACAGTTTTTTCATAAAAATACCGCTATTCATAAAATATCGGTTTTTCGTAAAAAATACTGTTTTTTCATAAAAATACCGGTTTTTCAAAAAATACTGGTTTTTCATAAAATTATCGGTTTTTCATAGAAATACTGTTTTTTCATAAAAATTACGGTTTTTATTATAAATACCGGTTTTTTTTAACAAAAATACTGTTTTTTTCGCAAAATACCGGTTTTTCATGCTGGTTTTTCACAAAATAACTTGTTTTTTCGCTTTTAACGCAAGCATTTTCACTAAAATTTTTTTCACATAAAATAAGTTTTAAATTCACTAAGTTTAGTTAGATCCAGTATTTCGCAAAACAACCCTTATCTTTAATGAAATTCACCAAAACAAAAATTTTACCAAATATTTCAAGTTCAACATTTTATAAAAAATATTTTATTGAGGATATATCAAATTTTATGAAAATTTAAGCAACATAAATAAAACCTCAAACATTTCCTAAACTAAAGTCTGGAGAGAAAAACTTCCGCCACATTTAACCCAAACTGCTATTTGTTCAAACACAACTGTATACATTAAAAGGATGTATGTATGTGTTAACTATATACTTCTGTTAGGTATGTATGTATATAAAATTAAGTAAACGTCCTTGAAACTCTTTTTTTTTCTTCTCATATATAACAGCTATACATGCCGAAATTATGGTTATAGTTAAAATTATTACAATTTGTAACGGCAGACAATGAAGAAGAAGACGACGACGTTGTAGGGAAGGAGTAATTGTCCGAAAGGGTCTGTTGGTTAATGGCATTGGATTGGTCATGATAATTGGTATTCATTATAGACGTGTTATAACTAATTGTATTACGTTGTATTGTATAAAAATTATAATTATAATTAATGCGATTATTACCTTCTTCCCGATCACGTTCAATTTTTGGATGAATTTTACCTTTATGATCCACGGAGGCGGCAGCATTTAGAAAATTCAAATCAGTTTGTGGTTGAGAATATGGTATGGAGATATTTTGACCATACTGCATGGTATTATTAGCGGCTGAAACTGTAAAGAAATTGAAAAGTTAAATTTCATTTAAATTAAAAATTGTTAAGAATTTTGCTATTTGATTTATAGTTTTAAAGATATTTACACATTATTAATTAGATCCTTTAGTTTAAGGGAGGTAGTTTGGTTTTTAATTTTAGCTATTTATTTCAAAATTGATTTCAGTTTAAAATATTTATAATGCTCTAACTTTAGTTTATTTCTAAAAAAATAAGCACAAAATCACAAAATGTTTCTTTTTTATTAGCCCAACTTCCCAGCTACTACGTTACGCACTCACTGTAAGGCCAACTACCATTTGCCAACTGAAAAGCGGCTGTTTGTTTGAGGTTCATTTTACCCAGCTGACGACGACTAGTATGATGAAGATTTTCATCGTATATTGTTGCTGTTGTTGTTTCGGGGGCCTTTTTTCCATTGCTTTTCCCAAAAAAAAGAAAACATGTTTGTTGGTAAGAGGACTCAGACAACATCCATATTTTTGTACGTGTTTGTATATTAAATCGTGTTCAGTTCTGTTGTGTTCTGCTGTGTTTTGTTGTATGTTATAAACGAATCCTTGAAACGAAGGTATACGACGCATGGGTAAGATTAACCGGGACAACAATAGCAGCAACAGCAACAATAACAACAAAAATTGTAACAACACCAGCAATAGCAACAACAATAAGTAGGAAAAAAATGTGATTAAAAAAACTGTAACAATTTTGTTTTTGTTATTTGGAACAGAAAAACATCCGAAATATACTACTCCTACTTTTTTCTTAAAATAGGGTTACCGAAAAGCACAGACAGTCGACATAGCGGAATATCTATCGATCATCTATCGAAAATCTATCTAGCGAGCGAGCAAGCGAAGCGTAGCACAGCGAGCAGCGAGCGAGCGAGCGAGCGAGCGAGCACGAGCGAGCTAGCGAGCGAGCAGCAGCGAGCGAGCAGCATAACGAGCGAGCGAGCGAGCGAGGCGAGCGAGCGAGCGAGGAGCGAGCGAGCGAGCGAGCGAGCGAGCGAGCGAGCGAGCGAGCGAGCGAGCGAGCAGCGAGCGAGCGACGAGGAGCGAGCGAGCGAGCGAGCGAGCGAGCGAGCGAACGAGCGAACGAGCGAGCGAGCGAGCGAGCGAGCGAGCGAGCGAGCGAGCGAGCGAGCGAGCGAGCGAGCGAGCGAGCGAGCGAGCGAGCGAGCGAGCGAGCAGCGAGCGAGCGAGCGAGCGAGAGCGAGAGCAGCGAGCGAGCGAGCGAGCGAGCGAGCGAGCGAGCGAGCGAGCGAGCGAGCAGAGCGAGCGAGAGAGCGAGAGCGAGCGAGCGAGCGAGCGAGCGAGCGCGAAGAGCGCGCGAGCGCGCGAGCGCGCGAGCGAGCGAGCGAGGAGCGACTAGCGAGCGAGCGAGCGAGAGAGCGAGCGAGCGAGCGAGCGAGCGAGCGAGATATTAGCTATCGATCTAGCTATCTATCTATCTATCTATCTATCTATCTATCTATCTATCTATCTATCTATCTATCTATCTATCTATCTATCTATCTATCTATCTATCTATCTATCTATCTATCTATCTATCTATCTATTTAACTCTTTCAGATAGATTCTTAAATCTTGCTTTTCAACCGATTCAGTTATTAACCAGATCTGAACAGTTTTGATCAGATCTGGACAGATTTACTTTTATTCATAATAACGGACCACTTGGTCAAGACTTTAAAATTTTCATTAATAACAAAACATGTTCCCTATTCCTGGGGTCAGCCTACTTGCCAGCACCAGCTGTGAAAATATCATAGAAGATATTGCTAACAGAATCAAATCATATGTGCGTACAGCGGCTTTTAAATGTTGTTATTACTTTAACAGACTTTTTGTTGTTGTTGAGGTTTACACTGGTACTTGTTGTTGCTTTCAAGAGACACATACTCTCTTACACACAAAAATTATAACTGTAAAAGCCGAATATACGAAGGAGCCTATTCTTAGTCGATGATGTAGTTAATGTGAGCGAAAGTAAACGAATATAAAATATATTACCAAAAAAAAAAAAAAAAAACAACAACAAAACAAATTTTTGAATACTCATACTCCGGTCTACAAGTGCCAAGGCCATATTTATATACTAAAAAGTATATAGAAAATGTCTATTACAATATATACCAAACACAATTATATATGTAAAACTTTTACTATATATTTGCTATAGTATATTTTTGGGGATTTGTGTGCTGTTACTTTTTGGTATTGTTGTTGCTATAGTCGCCTAAAATGTAAATTGTATATATACTCAGTTATACATACATATAATCCTTCAATTTGGTTTCAATATTTAGGGAACTTTTTGAAATATGTTACAAATTTATTTGCCGGTTGTTTTTTTATTTTTCTCTCGATTTTTTTTATTAAATCTTTTTTTTTTCTTTCATCTACTTGTTAATTTTATGAGCTGTTGTCAACTGCATTAAAGGTATTTTTTTTCTATGAGATATTTTTAGCCAAAATTACCCGAAACATGAATAAACTTGTATAAACATGACTGGAAAACAGTGTCGTCTTCCTTGTAGATTTAATGAAAAATTTCATTGAAACGAAGTTCAATGATATTGTTCTATTTATTCGTATTTGAGTATTTGAAAGGAAGTTTATGTTAAATAAAATTATTGACCTTCTTTTTTAAGTAGAATTTCTTAATAAACATTAAAATGATAGAATAATTGGTTCAAATGTAGGTTAATTTGTAAATAAGGAAGTTTTAATGCAAAAATAATTATAAGGTTTAATTTCTTTTAAGGAAAAAAAGTTAAAATAAACAAATGATATATCATTTGAGAGGTAATAATGTCTTCTTTGGAAAAATCTATAAAAAAATTTAATTAATATGACTTTCCTAAAACAAATTTTCTTGAAAACGCCAAGAAGTGGACAATTGATTTCTTCTTTCATTTCTTTTGAGAAAATAATTAAAATAAACAAATTATATATCAATTAAAAGGAAATTAGGTCTTATTTCATTCTTTCATTTCTTTTAAAAAAACATTAAAATAAACAAATTATATATCATTTGAAAGGAAATTAGGCCTTCTTTTCAAAAATTTATAAAAAGTTAAATTATTATGAATTTCCTAAAACAAAATTTATTGATAACGCCAAGTGATGAAAAGTAGATTTCTTCAGCAAAAACATTAGTTTACGTTCTTTCATTTCTTTTAACTGAAAAGTTAAAATAAACAAATTTTATATCATTTGAAAGGAAATTATATCTTCTTTTAAAAAATCTATAAAAAGTTTAATTATTATGAATTTTCTAAAACAAAATACATTGAAAACGCCAAGAAGTGAAAAATAGATTTTTTTTAGCAGAAACATTATTTTGCTTTCATTAATTTCTTTTAGGAAAAAAGTTAAAATAAACTTATTGTATATCATTTGAGAGGAAAACTTTTAATAACTTTGAATTTCATAAAACAAAATTTTACAGAACTAGAATGTATTTTATTTTATTATCAAATTAAATTTATATAAAGTAATTTATTGACATTTTGTTCAAAATTCTTTAATGAATTTTAAAATTTTAGAAATGTGGTTTTATTTTTGGAAAGCTAACAAAAATTCCTTTCCATTTATGTACAATTTTATTATTTTTACACTTTACACTGAAGGAAATTTTGTACTCCAAGTTAGATTTTGGGTGTTAAAATTAACTTATGCCTGTTAGGCGGTTTTTAACAAAAACTCTTGTATGAATTTCAAAATATTTAAACTTTTTTTATATGTTTGAAAAATTGATAAAATTTCCTTTCCAATGATATACAATATGTTTATTTTCAAACTTACACTGAAGAAAATTTTGTTGACAAAGTCAAGGTTTTTGAAATTAAAATCAATTTTATATTTTATTTTCAGTTTTTGTTTAAAACTATTTAACGAATTTTAAAATAATAGAAATTTGGTTACATTTTTAGAATGCTGACACAATGTCCTTTCTCTTGATATACAATTTGATTATGTTATTCATTACACTTCAGAAAATTTTGGTTAAAATAAGTATTTCTTACACCTGAAGAAAATTTTGTATGTAAATTTCCCCTTTGGCACAAAAATAGCTTTTGCGATTTTTTGGCATTTTTCTTAAATTTTGTTTTATAAAATGCAAAGTAATACAATTTTTTATATATTTTTGGAAAGACGGCATAATTTCCTTTCAATCGATGTATAATTTGTTTATTTTAACTTTTCTTTTGAGAGAAATTTTAATGAAAACAAAATTATATTTCAATAAATAAAAAACAATATTTTGTTTCACTTTATAATAAATATTTTTTAATGAAATTTAAATTAATTAATATTATTAAAACTTTTTTGTAGAGAAGACATAATTTCCTTTCATTTGATATATAATTTGTTTATTTAAATTTTAATTTAGTTAAAGGGGTTTCTCTTTGAAAAATTGTTGTTTAGATTTTTGGTGTTTTTGACATAGTTTGTTAAAGAAATTTAAAGCAATCGAAATGCAATTAACATTGTTGTAAAATAGACAAAATTTCCTTTCATTTGATATATAAGTTGTTTATTGAAATTTTTTTAGTAAAACCATTAATGAAAACAAAATCATGTTTCTCTTTGAACACTTTTTTTTTGGCTTTTTGGTGTTTTTGACAAAATTTGTTAAAGAAATTTAAAGCATTAGAAGTGTAAATTACATTGTTGCAAAGTAGACAAAATTTCCTTTCATTTGATATATAAATTGTTTATTTGAAGTTTTCTTTAAGAGACTTAAATGAACTCAAAGTTTGGTTCCTTTAACTTCAATGACCCTTCTTTTATTAATTTCCTTGAAAAAAAATCTCTTTAAAAGTTTCACTTTCCAACTCAATCAATCTTTAACAGTAAAGCAAGTAAGGCTGGCAAAGCATTTGTCAATATTTGATATGAAGCAATTACTGTCAAAAACGCGTCAATGTGCATTAAAGGAATTGAAGGCCAAATAATTAATCATGACGCCAGAGTGTTTT